GCGCCACACGCCCGGCCGGCCGCCCGCCGCCGCCCAGCACGGCCAGAGGGGGGGGGTCGCGGGGGAGGAGGAGGATGACCAGTTTAATCTCAAGAGTCGAGTCATCAACGGCGTTGGAGTAAACCCTCCCTTCGGACTCCCTCTTCACAGGTCCCTACAACAGTTCACTTCCATTGAGGCAGCTGCCTCGTTGGAAGACAACCGTTTGAAGTTTCTGCAGCATGCCGAAGCATTATTCTCGGGATTTCAACGCCACAGATCAACCTGATTGTTGCGTTATGCGATCCAGAAACGTGGAAGAACGCCATTCCAGGGAACCCAAGTACCTGCTGCACCCGCATAATCCTGAGCCCTTCCAAAACACAGTTCCTGGTACGCTGATGATGGGAATCCTTGACATTCCTGCACTTGTTTCAAGCGAATGCGCGCCGCGCATAGGCGAGGGCCACATTTTAAACATCACCCGCTTTCCATCCGAGAAGCTGCTACCAAGGTTCAAGCTTCAGAGTCACAGGTGGTGAGGACGTTCTAGGCAAAACGCCCAGCCCGTCCTAAAAACCGGCCTCGGGGTGCGTCAGGGAGAAGTTGTTTATGAGATAATGGACTGAAGCTGGAGGAGAGGGAGGGAGGAGGAGGATTATGATGATGATGATGATGATGATGATGATGATGATGATGATGATGATGATGATGATGAGAAGGAGGGGAATGAGGAAGAGGAGGAGGAGGAGGTGGAGGAGGAGGGAGGAGGAGGAGGAAGAAGAAGAGGAGGAGGACGAGGGGAGGAGGACGAGGAGGGAGGAGAGGAAGGACGAGGAGGAGGAGGAGAGAAGGGCAGGAGGAGGAGGAGGAAGAGGAGGAGGAGGGAGGGAGGAATAGGAGGAGGAGGAGGAGGAGGAGGAGGGGAGGAGGAGAGGAGGAGGAGGACGGGGGGGAGCTCGCTGCGCCGACGTGGCCGGGGTGCCCGCGGCCGCCTCAGGCTCACGGCCTCTGCCCCCTCTCCGCTCCACGGGGCGCTGCGGCGTCCCGGCTTGTGGGGCCCCGCCCTCTTGTCTGCTCGACGAGGGCCACTGGAGTCGCGGGTTCTCTTGCAGACGAGGGGCAGGAGCCAGTCCAGGAGCCAGTCCAGTGGGCCAGGAGCAGGAGGGTGACGCGCGAACCCAGTCCTCATCCTCACCCTCCTCCTGTGATGGTGCTGGTGGTCAGTGACGTCAGGTTGGCCCCGCTGCCATGCTTTCTGGTCCTTCCAGTGGTAGGGATGGTGATGTCCAAGATGGTGGTGATGATGGTTGTGACGAGGATCGAGAGGAGGCTTGAGGGGGCGGACGGCGGATAGGTAGTTAGATGGAGGGGCGAGTGGAGGGGAAGATGAGGAGCAGGAGAACGAGCCGCGGCTGGCCCTTGAAAGGAAGAGGAGGGATAGGACGGGAAGTGAGATGAAATGAAAGACAGACAGAGAGACAGAGAGAGAGGGAGACAGAGGGAGAGAGAGAGAGAGAACGATAACGGAAGCGGAGGCAGGAGGGAGGATGGATGAAACGCGGGGGAGGGGGGAGAGTGGGGATTTCAGGAGGGATGAGTGATGTGAGGAGGCAGAGAGGGAGCAGACGGAGGAAAAGGAGGATGAGAAGAAATGAGGGACGACAGGGGTGGGAGGAGGGTGAAGGATATGGAGGGCGATGTGGTCGAGGGGAGAAGGAGGACGAAGCGGAAGAGGGATGAAGAGGAGCGATGTGCGTCCATCGGAAGCATTTTTTGAAGAGTCCAGGGCAATCTTGGGTCCACATCGGTGATTGCACGTTCTCTGTTTGCATTGGGCGATCGTGACAGGAAGTCGTGCTACCCTGGTCCATTTTCGGGTCGCATTCGACAATCTTGGGAGGTGCTCGTATTCCGCATTGTTTTCCCGGATTGCCAGATCTAGTCCTGCGACCAGGCTCTCCCCAGTGACGATATTCCAGAGCCAGCTTCGTCACGTGGATATCTCATGTCGTGCCATGGGGTGCGGTGGCCATAATCACTGCCCAGCGATAAGCCCTGCACATGGCCAAACGCTGCATGGCTGTGTTTCCTCGTCCACCTCCTCCACCTCTCTCACGTTTTGCTCATTTGAACTCATTTGAGCTCCTCCTCTTCTTCCTTCTCCTCCCTATCGTTTGGGTGTGGGTTGGGCAACTCATTTAAACTCCCCTCGCATTGCTCATTGCTCATTGCTTCCTCGCGTATGCTTCTTTCGCACTCCGTTTTTTTCACATTGGTGTGTCATATGCGCCTCTGCAATTGGAGCGGAATCGGTCTTTTCAGACGGTGTTTCCCAGTTTTGTGTTGGCCACATTTCAGGATCGGTGTTTTTTGTTCCGTCGTTCAGACTGGCGTCATCGCCAACTCGAAGGCCAAATTTCGTTCGGAACTCTATTCCTTCATCGGCGTTGCCGCCCATCTCCTTTCTCCGCCTCCGTCTTCCCCTTGTTTTCCTGCTCCTGTTCCTACTTCTCGTACTCCTGGTGCCGCTGATCCCCCTCACTCACACGCTCTGTCTACGCATCCTTCCTAGGACAAATCAGCCAGCGGACACAGATATTCGGTGGAAACGGATGTGTGGGAGGGGCAGGATGCCAGGTTCGGCGCGAGCGCTTTTACCTTGTCCTCCCCCCCCTCCTCCCCTCCCCTCCTCCTCCTCCTCCTCATCCTTCCTCCTCCTCCTCTTCCTCCTCATCCTCATCCTTCCTCCTCCTCCTCCTCATCATCCTCCCCCTTATCCTCCTTCTCCTTCTCCTCCTCCTCCTCCTCCTCCTCCTCCTCCTCCTCCTCCCCCTTTCGCCATGAAGGAGAAGGGGTTCCCGAGGGAAACGGCTCGTGGACCCGGGGCTCTCGCCAGCACAGGGACGTCAATATCCAGATCCATGGCGTCTTGGGCTGTCTGGCAATGGGGCGCCACGAGGCCGAGGAGCGCTGGCTGTGGGTCAAGCCACATCTGGCCTCGAGGGCCCAGGTTCTTATCTGTCCGTATCCACTGCGCCTCGGGTTGCCGGGGGCGGGAGCCCGAACTTCCCAGGCGCCCCTCCCCCCCCAGGAGCCCATTGGGGAAAGAGAGGACCACAGGACCTGGGTGCTGCTCCTCCTGCTGGCTCTTCGGAGGCCGTCCTCTCTGGCCCCAGGACCGGCAACCAAACCACTCAGGACGAACAGCCGGCCCGGGGAAGAGTGGGGCAGCACAGCCGGCCCGGGACCAGCGCGGCGGCGCGTAGGGCTCTCTCGGCGTCTTTTGTTGGTGCCCTGCTGCGAGACGAAGTTTGTGTCCCTGGCAGACGTCGGGCTCGGCTCCAGGGGCGTGCTCCGCTTTGGTCGTCCCTCGGGGGCTGCCGCTCGCGACCGCCTTCCATCCTAGAACCAGAGCCTACGCGCTGGATCTCTGGGCACCCCGCTGGGCCCCCCAGAGCAGAACTTCTGCGTCGGCTCCCAGGGCAAGAACCTATTGCGCCTGAGCTCTGTGGCCCGCGGGGGTCTCTGGAAGGCCTCTGGGGTCCCTGTTTCCGGGAGCCCAGAGCCCCCGCCCTCCCCTGCAGTCTCACGATAGACAGCGTCTCCACAAGCGGATTGCTTGGCGACGTGTTGGTTCGCACACTGGGATACGTAGCGAACCTGCCCATCACCTAACCATCGCCGGTCTACAAAGACGGCGACTCTGGGCCCGAGCAGATGGGGTCGGAGGAGATCGCCCCGCATCGCCGATGCATCGCCGATGCGGGACCCGACTTCCTCCACGCCGCGATGCATCGCCGACCTCGCCAATACATGGTCGATGCATCAACGATGCATCGACGATGCACCGCGATGTTCCGACCCCATCTCCTCGGACCCCATGTGAGCGACGCAAGAAAACTGGCTCGATGGTGCCGACAGGCGCGTAAGCTCCTCGCGTCAGGTCGCGAGTGAGCGCTCTCGGTTCCAGTGTGGCGTGCCGCGCCGGCGGCCCGCGCAAGCCACCGCGTAATGTCGCTGGCGTTGGTGGGAAACAACTCGGGCTCCGCAGCGAGCCGCATCGGGGACGCATCGGCGACGCGGCGCAATCCTCCGACCCCATCTACTCCGACCTCATCTGGGAGGCCTTGGGCGCTTGCCGAACAGCCCTGCCCGGTCTGATCCCTTCTTCGGGGGCGTTTCCTAAACGGCTCCGCATGTCGGGGTGATCCTCATGGGGGTGTATATTCGGCGGTGGTTTCCAGCACCGCAGGGATCGTTACCGATCGAAGGCTCCTTGGATCGCCCGGTCGTTCCGTGTTGGCCGATCCCGGGCCTTTGGCGGCTTTCAACCCGGAGCTCCCGCGGCGGGGCCGCCGCCGGCCGACGCGACGCGCACCTGCAGTGCGGGCGCGGCCGCAAGAAACCCTCGCGAGAAACCCAACCCCGAGAGCCCGCGCGCGAGGTGCACCTGAGGGGAAGCCCGGAGCACCCTGAACGCAGCAGCTCCTCCCACGGCTGCGGGAAGTCGCCGCGCAGCGCGAGGAGCGAAGGAGCCCAGGCGACCCTGACGAGCACCAGACGGCTTCTCGAGGCGCGCCCCCGCTGCAACCCGTCCTTCGCGTGCGCGTGCGCCGCTCGCGGAGGACGCCGCGGAAGGCCGCGGGGCGGCCCTTCCCCCGGCCCTCCCCTACGGGGCCCAAAGCTGTACACCACCACCACCTCCCTCCTCCTTTTTTTTTGTTTTTGTTTTTTTTTGTTGTTTTTTTTCTCTCCTCTCTCTCTCTCTCTCTCTCCCGGGAGAGAGGAGAGGAAGGGAAGGAGGAGGGAGGAGGGGGGAGGAGGGAGGAGGCAGGAGGGAGGAGGCAACGACGTGGTGGTGGTGATATACTCTCGGGGCCCGCCTCCCCCGCGGGGCATCGCGCTGCCCTGCGGCGCGCGCGGCCTTCCCCCCCCGCCCCCCCCTCGGAGGGCCTGCCCCCGCCGAGGCGGCCGGCCGCGCGTGCTGGGCCCTCGTGCCCCTGGAGGACGCCTCGGAG